TCCCTCCTCATTCTGTTCTACCAATCCTGTGCCTAGTCGACTCAAGAAAGAAATAGAAAACTGGCCAATACAGTGTATCTGGAAGTTCCAGCCAATTCCAGAGGAACTGATTTAATCATGATATATAAAACAAAGTACCTTAGAGGAATAGAATGTGTATATGATGCTCTGGCTCTTCTAAACGAATAGCAACTATCTAAGAGCACTAAGGGCAATAATATGGAGCCAGAAAAAAATTACATAATTAGGATGATTATTGGTGATTGAGAACAAAGACTGTCTGGGGTTATTTGAAGCTATAGAACCAGAAAGATTGCAGTACTATTACATATAACAAGAGAGTACAAGTTTTTGAAAAAGGATTCTTTCTAATTGAGAAATTGCATGAAAAAAAAAAAAAAAAAAAAAAAAAAAAACAGAAGTAGCAGCAGTAAATGCCTGTAGTCCCAACAAATTAGGAGAATGACAGGGGAGGATCATTTGAATCCAAGGGTTCAAGAGCAACATAGGCAACAAGACTCTATCTCAAAAAGAAATAAAGGAGCTGCATGAACAAGCCCAGGGAGGCTGCTTTATACACAAACACAAGTGTTCCAGAAGCCTTTAAATCCCCGGATGGATGGCTGACTGGTGAGGTTCTCTTCCTGTTCCAATCAATTCTATATATGAGGAAGTGACTACTTTTCCCAAACGTGTGTATCCTAAAACAAAACTAAAAGATATCCACTGAAGTAGGGAACCACAGCTCAACCAAAGGAACAACAAACAAATTTCTGCATACCAACACTTAAGTAATGGAAGTATATGACTTACCATGTAGAAAACTCAAATAACTGTCATAAAGATGCAAACAAATAGGAGAGAAAAGAAAAGATAAGAAAAAAGGCAGGGGAGAAACATGCAAGTATGTATACAGGATGGCTGAGGTGATTGTACTGAAAATCTTCATCAGTCTTTTGAAAATAGCAGTTAATGTGCAGAATTTTCACCTTGACAAACTCTGTATGCTCCGAGCTGTGATCTAAACAATTTCAAAGACAGCAATGTATAATACAGAAACCAGGTTGGACACCTGACATCTTGGTCTCATAAGTGTACTGTTTCTAATGCCATATCAATTATTACTATACTCTCTTTAAAACAAACTTTTAAAAAACATAAAGAAAAAAAGAGACAAAAACAAATATTTAAGGTTTCTTGAAAGCAAGTGCTAATATCCAACCATATGTCCAAACTTATAGAATGATATCTGCTAATCTGAACAACAGACAAGATGATAAAATAGATAATATATCAACCATTGTTAATAAGCTATTCTTGGTTTGAAAATCTGTAACATATGTACTGTTGTATGTTGCCTTGTTTCTTTTTGTTTCTGATTTTTCTTGCTTTGCTTTTACTTTTCAAAATAAACTAAAACTTAAAAAAATTAAAAAATGATGCCATATGAGCTGAAGAAAATAATGTGTGAACAAAATATCAATGAAGAAAAAGAACATATACAGAGGAATCATACAATATATTGAAGTTGAAGAATACAATAATTGTATTGAAAAATTCATTAGCAGTGTTCAACAGCAAATTCTACGAAGAAGAAAAGAATGCACCATTTCAAGGACAGGTCATACTATCCAGTAAATAGAATTTTTAAAAATGAGAAAAAGTGAAAAATGCCCAAATTGTTTATGGTACACTATCAAGCACTCAGAAAGAGAGTATATATATCTTGGTTAAGAAAATGGATATCAAGATTCAAAAAGCCAATTAACTCCAGCTAAAGCAAAGTCAGAAAATATCTACACTAAGACATATAATTAAATTGTAAATTCAAAGAAAAATATAAAAATTACAATGCAGTAGAATAGTACCTTCTCATAAAGAGAACTTCACATGAAGAACTTCTCTGAATCTATCATTGGATATCTGAATGGAAATTTTGTCAACCAGGAAAGACAGACACACACACACAGTGAGAGAGAGAGTGAGAGAGAGAAGAGTGAGAGCAAGCAAGAGAGAGAGAAGAGAAATGTATTGAAAATCTTGAAAAACAAAAGAAAAACTGCCAACCAATCCAGACAATCTTTAAATAATGAAGGAGAAAAAAAATACTTTCCCAGTTAAACAAAATCTGCAAGAGCTTGAAACTTCCATACCTGCCTTATAAGAAAAATGAAAGGAGTCCTTTTAGCTGAAATGAAAGGACACTAAACAATAATACAAATGTATAACAAAATATAAAACTTGCTGGCAAAGGTAAATATATAAAGAAATACAGAATAAAAAAGGGTCTTACACAAGTCCCATTTATGTAAGTTCTGGTATACAAAGCAAAAGATAAAAATAAAAATGGTAATAATGATAAAATCTGTTGGTGGATATGCAACATAAGATGAAATTTGTGACATTAATAACAAAATACAGGGCAATAATTGTACATAGATATTTTTATGTAATTAAAGATGTTAGGTTAAATATATTATGATTAAGTGCTATTTTATATTACCAAAATGAAAATGCCTATGAAAAGCACACAGAAAATGAAAATGTAATCAAAGCATATAACTATAAAACATCAATAAACACAAAGAAGTCAACAAGATAGGAAACAATATTACAAACTTGCAGAAAATAATCTACAAACTAACAATAGAAATAGTTCTCTATCAGAAACTAATTCAAATGTAAGTGGATTTAACTCCTTGTTACGTGTTGTATCAATTGTCCCCCAAAGACATCATGTAGTCATGGAGCAACTTCTAGAATTCTCGCCTGACTCATGGTCCAAGGCTGGGATTCTGGGCGTGCGTGCTCTCTCCCGGGGGGCAGGCCACCTGCATGTAACTCACGGGAGGGGAAGGGGCTGCTCTCTGCTGCTCTTCCCTTCTTGCTCTTGCTGCATTTGCAGTCTTCCCTCTGCCTTGGAGCTAGCCAAGTATAGAATGAAACCGCCACAAACTGGGAGCTAAATAAATCTTTCCTTCTTTAATTTTGAGCATCAGGTATTTTATCTCAGCAATGAGAGAAAAATAACCACTCCCTCTTGAAAATGCAGAGAAAGGGGGCATGGAGAAAAAGCAGTAAGATATAATTATATGCTGCTTACGAGAGATTCATTTTAAAGTTAAATAAAAGGGGCTGGTAAAGGGGCTGGGGATTTGGCTCAGCTGTAGAATGCTTGCCTAGCAAGCTGGAAGCCCTGGGTTCAGTCCTCCACACCAAAGACAAAAAATAAACCTCCCCTAAAAGGGGTAGGCCAAATAACTCAGTAGAGCAAAGCGCCTCCTTAGGCAGACGCAGGGGCCTAGAGTTTGATCCCCTAGCCTGCCGTGCCGGCCCCAACCCCGGGATGTGCTGAGATGGCTATTGAGACTGGGCATGGTGGCGCACACCCGCAATCCCAGCAATTGGGAGGCTGAAAACGAGAGGATCACTACGAGTCCAATTTACGTAGTGAGACCCTGGAGACCTTGTCCTAAATATAGAAAGAAATAGAAATATTTAGAGACAAAAAATATATAATAAAGCTTACAAAGTAATAAAAAATAGTGCTAAGAAGCAAATTAATGTAATATCTACAATATCGCTATTACTTAATTTTACACTTCAACAATTTAGTCACAGAAGAATATGCTTAAAGTTAGAATAAGGAATGAAACACATTGGAGCAGAAATAAATAAAAAAGAGAATAGAAAAAAATCAATAAAAGAAAAAGTTGGATTTTAAAAAAAATTAATAAAATTAGCAAATTCCTTTCTGGGATTTCCTAAGATAAAGAGAAATGACTCCAATAAAATCAGAAATGAAAAGGGAAAATTAAAAATGATATAATAGAAATAAAAATATAATAATATATTTGTATAAACAACTCTATACCTCAAAATCTTATAATCTATAAAAATGAATAAAAGTCTAGAAAAGTACAATATGCCAAAACTGAATTATGAAAAAATAATACATGTAAACAGATCTGTATCTATTAAGGAGACAAAGAAAATCCCAGAATTAGATGGTTTTACTGATTAATTTTTTCTCAATATTCAAAGAAGAACTAATAAAAACATAAATTACTAAGTACTACTTTATTTTTCAAATGTTCTCCAAGAGGAATTTTTAAGTCTTTTTTGAGTATAAAATTTGCTATTTCTCCAGACCTTTTTAAATGTCAGTAATTTGACACTTTTTTTTTCTGAAAAAGGTTCCCATTCAGAATTATATACAAAGTTATTCACTATTATTTTTATATAAATAAAATTTAGAAAAGTATAAAAACTGGAAATTATTAGATAAATTACCACAGGGAACTGTTCATTGTCATGCTAGCAGTAAAAGTTATATATACAGTAGGGTATATTGACTATGAATTTGTATATAACAGCATCCTTAGGCTGATAGGTAAATGCATGCATTAAGAAAAAAACAGGAACACACTGTTGGAATGAAAAATACAGAAAAATTCACTAGCAGGGCGGGCCAAATAGCTTGATCCTCAGGCCAGCCGTGCTGCGCTGGCCCCGCACCCAGGCACGCTGAGCCGGTGATTGAGCCTGGGCGTGGTGGCACGCGCCTCTAATCCCAGCTCTTGGGAGGCTGTAAACAGGCGGATCACTAAGAGTCCAATCTAGTAGTGAGACCTTGAACACCCCATAGACCCTTCCCTAAAATCCAAATACATAAATAAATAGAAAATTTCACTAGCAAAACTTATGTGATGACATGGAGTCTACATATTTTTGTTTTTATCTTTACTTTCTACCCTCATAGATGTAACTGGCAGAAAATCAAATGTAGCAAAAATATTTTTCCTGGTAGATTTTCTTAGAAAGGATTTCTAAAAATAATATTCATCCAAAATAACTATGGCACAAAAACTTGTGCTCACCTCAGTCATGACCTAACAAGCACTTTGACCCAAGTGTAGGGCGTACTTAGGCCATTGCTGATGAACAGGGAGCCCCATAATGCACGAGCTACGGCCGCTGCCTATACCAGACAGACTCACCTTGGCAGAGCTTCTGCTTCACTGCCTCCCTTATTTTGGATATTGCAATGTAGTCTTCCACATAAAACACGTAGGTGGAGGAAGGCTTGTTAGCAATGGCTCTAAGCTCCGCGTCTTCAGTCTCTGAACCAATACCGATGGCAAACAGTGTTATTCCACTGCCTCTTGCTGCTTCGGCCGCACCCTTTACTTCGTCTTGGGATTTACCATCTGTGAGCACCACCGCAATCTTAGTTAGGAATCGCGAGGACTTGGCAAAAAGGTAATCAAGCGCAAACTGGATGGCCTTCCCGGTCCTCGTGTTTCCTCCCAGGTAGTGTAGGGACTGCACCATTGCCCGTATATTCTCTCCTGAATCATAGCTTCCCAAGGGGACTTCCAGCACGGGATAGTCACTGTACTGCACCACTCCAACTTGAATAAACTTCGGTCCTATATCAAAGTTGTTTGTGATATTGACAAGCCACTTTTTCACTATTTCAAAATTTTCTGGGCCAACACTGTAGGAACCATCTAAGATGAAGACCAAGTCTGTTGGAGCTGTACGACAACCTAAGCAGAAAACAAAATCACCAGAGCACATTTGCCATGTGAAAGCCAGACAGTGAGAGGTTTTTCTTTATCTTTTTAATCATTCATTCATTCATTCATTTATTTGGTAAAGGGTGTTGGTATGCAGTTTGGATTCATAGTGATGCTCCTGTCTCAGCCTCCCCAGTACTAGAATTACAGACATGTGTCCCCATGTCCGATTTTTGTGGCCAGCACTGCGCACCCGGGGTTCTGTAGCAGGCTGTACCAGGGATCTAACCTGGATCATTGCACTTACCAGGCAGACACTTACACTGCCTGAGCTATCTCCCCAACCCAGTGGGAGGTTTTAATGCATGGATTTTCAGCTATTCACTAACATCATTGCTCAGTTTAAGTAATCAGTGAAATATATTTAATTTAATGCTAAAATAAAGCATTGAAAAGAATAAACCAAAAAATGAGGAGAGAGAAATTAAAACAAATTTTCTGCCAACTTTAAGATTCAACCTGAAATTCATGCACCTACAATGTTTAAATGGCAATGGAATACAACAGGGTTTATAGGGTCTCACTATGTAGATCAGACTCAGAGTGATCCCCTGTTTACAGCCTCCAAAGTGCTGGGATTACAGACACGCCCAGTCTCGACCGCTGTCTCAGTGTGCCCCAGGGTGGGACTGGCATGGCAGAACCGGGGATAGAACCCCCAGCCCCTGTGTAGAAGTACCTCTTTGGGCTTGCTGAGCACTTGTTAGTGACACTGAGCCAGAATCACGACCTTGCTGTCTGCCTCAGTGTTGCCTCAACAAGGTTAGAGTTGAGCTGGCACTCAGCCATGGAGGGTAACTCTATAAGAGTGTGTTTTTACTTTTTTTAGAGGAGGGTTTTCCATTGCCATTCATATTTTGTGGGTGCGTGAATTCAGTGGGGTAATCCTGTGTGGTCAAGTGGTCTCTGATGGTACTAGAATTACAGACATGTGACTGACAATGTCAGAGCCTTTTGACTTGAGTCTTTTACAGCTCAGCATAACCTGGATTATATATTCATTTATAACCTCAGGGAGGATATAAATGAAGGACCATTTTGTTGTGAAAAAACCATATATCTGTATATACAAAATAATTAACATAGATACATAGTTACTTTCTCTTAGTTCAATGAGAAGAAAGTTTTGAACTAATAGTGTTTGGAGAAGATCTCATGTGTGCATTTTATACTATGAATAACTACTACAAAGACAATAATATACAATGTATTAATTATTGTAACTGTCCTACTAACCTGTTTTGAAACTGTTTCATTGCTACTTCTTTCTCAATAAAATTAATATAAAAAAGAAAAGAAAAGACCCAACCTGAAATACAATTTCATACTAATGTAGTTGGTAAAACTTGGGTAAAATAAGATCACTATACTCAAGTTAGTTTATATATCTTTGATCTCTCATCAACAAATAATGTAACAACACATCAGCTTCTGTTATGTCAATCTTATGTTTAAGGGCATAAAGCCATTCCTTTCTCAATAAAGATTTCTTGGTTTGACACCACCAGAAGACAATATAGACACTATGACCTTAAGGTCTCATTAAGATTAAAAACTATACAAGATGCAGAGATGATATACTATTTACAAACACTATTAGAACAAATCCCTCTATTCATTAAGAGAATGTAACTATATATCTATCCTAACCATTTTGAATACACAGATACAAAATGGA